ATGTATAGCCTGAATGCACTGTAAGTCGCTTTGGATAAAAGCGTCTGATAAATGCATAAATGTAAATGTAAATATATTTACATATGTATACAGAAATATACACCATATATATTTCCAAGTAGCTACGTTGTTAACAGATAGAAACATTGAACCAAGGCCAGACAGACCTTTTAAACACTCATATCCTATGTGGACTTTGCTCCAAAAAAGGGAGCAATCTGGTTAGGATTGGTTTTTTTTTTATGCAAGAGAGGTTCATGTAGAAATGTGATTGTGTTGGGTGTCCACTGAAACAGACCTAACAAGACAACGTCAGTTCTAGGGCTCACATCTCCTATCACTTCCATTATAGATTCAGGATAACGAGATGTTGACATTTATCTTACACATCTTAAAAGGAGCCAAAATACTCCACAATGCCCATGAAACTTAAAAATACATCTGTGCACATTTGGGAAACTTACTTAAAAATAAATAAATGTGACCTGTCTGCTGAGGTGACTTACAAGTAAGACTCTGACAGCCATGAGAGCTGCCGCTCCTGTTGACACAGTGCTGTCCATCAGGATAACATAATCCTCACTGATGTCCTTGGGAAGACGAAGGTAATGGAGCTGAGGAGGAAATTAGACTGTAATAAGACAAATTTATAGTCTAAGCAATGATTTTTGTTACATTACTATATGGAAAACACTAAACTTCTAAAGCAATTAAATAAGGACATCTAAGGAGCTTTGAGATCAAAGAAATGCAAATTGAAAACGCTACAGTATCGAGGATGAGTGATACAGCATATCTATATATCTATATCTATCTATCTATACACACATATATATACTGTGTATATATATATATATATATATATATTCCTTTGATTACGAGGAAATATTTTAGTTTTTTTTCTACTAAATGAGCATAAGAATTATTGTACAATTATTTTCATTTATATGCTTTAATATATCACCATAAAGCAAATAAATAAACATAACTGTTTCTTACAAAACTTTTTACAGC